AATATAATACAACTCAAACATAAATAATACTTTTTGACATAAACTAAATAATTAAATATAGTAGAACAAAACAAATATATGTAATTGTCGATCAAATTAGTAGACATAATTATTGAAGAACACACTAATCTATAATTTGGACATAAACATAACGACTTAACTTAAATGCAACTCTAATATAAAATAAAAAAAAAGTAATAATACTTTAACTAATAAATATATATATATTCGGTCATAGAAGCCGTTCGCTAGGTGTTGTGCGGAAATTATACGTGTATATATATATATCCATATGTACGTGTATTCACATGTAAATTTTTACACGTGAAATTCGAATTGAAATAACAATTCTAAAATTCATATTGGATGCTATACTTGCATCTCTTATATGAGAAATCCCAAATATCCCCCTAATTGAAATTAAATTTATATTGCGAAAAAAACTCGTGCCGTCGCCTTTCCTATTCGAATAGGAAACGTGCGACGGCACGGAAAGCCGGAGATTCCAGGTTCGACTCCTGGCCGAGGAGTTTTTTTCGCAATATAAATTTAATTTCTCAATTAGGGGGGTATTTGGGATTTCTCATATAAGAGATGCAAGTATAGCATCCAATATGAATTTTAGAATTGTTATTTCAATTCGAATTTCACGTGTAAAAAAATTTACATGTGAACACGTATATATGGATATATATACACGTATAATTTCCGCACAACACCTAGCGAACGGCTCCTATGACCGAATATATATTTATTAGTTTAGAAACTTCTCAGAGCCTGAAAAGATTCTTTAATTGTAATAATACTTTTAACATAAACTAAATAGATATCATAGATATTATATATGTTCTGTTATTTCATGTTTAATCATTTAATTTATGTCAAAAGTGTTATTAATTTATGTTTGAATTGTATTTTTATAAGTTAATTCATCATGATAGATGCTTCTTTATTGCGTTCTCTTTTACAAGAATCATCTTTTACAAGAGTTACACGAATCAATAGAAACATTTCACAAAAAAGAAACTCAACTTACTATCTTAATCTGTGCTTAACTTAGTCTAATTTATTCTTACGTCGCGCTCACAAAAGTCGCATAGGCGGTTAAACGGATAACGTCAATAAAAAACTAAATAAAAAAAAAATTTATTCTAACTTACAACTAGTCACGGAACTCTTATAACTAATTCAACCTCCCTATATAAACACATTTTAACTTTTAGATCGCCGGCATTTTTCCATTAAAATAGTTAAAATTGTTAAAATTGAACACCTTAGAAGTATAGAAATATCGAAGCTCCAAAAAATGGCGGCCTTTTGCAGCGGCCTAAAAGTTAATTCCCAATCTTGGATTTCCAACTTTCCGCACTCACATTCTCATTTATACCTTCGTCGCTATTCGCATTCATTCTCCTTCACTCTCACCTCCCTCTTGAAAGTTTCAAATTTCTACCTTTCTTATTCACATCTCTCCCCTTTTCTTTTCTTTCCTAATTAAGGTAGTTGTCCTTGAACATTCAGAGTTGACAGAAACTGACGAGATGTGTTCGTGATTTGTACTTCTTTCTCTACAATGTATTCTATAATTATCTTTGATTTATTACAACGCAGTTCTATAATGTATCAATTCAATAGATAAAAGATGGAAAATCGATTAGTGATGTATTACATCACTAATCTCGATTTCCCATCTTTTATTATATTTTAATTATTTTATCTATAGAACTGACGTAAAGATATTGTTATAACAATGTAAAATAAGTCTCGTACATTATCAAACTACTAGAAAGAAATATATTTGGTTAATGTGAGCCATTGTGTAAGATTTAAAATTTTAAAATTGTTACAAAATTAGAATCCATCTTTTATCTATTGAACTGACACATAAAGGTATCGTTATAACAATGTAAAATAAGGCTCGTATGTTATCGAACTACTAGAAAGAAATATATTTGGTTAATGTGAGCCATTGTGTAGGATTTAAAATTTTTAAATTGTTACGAAATTAGAATTAAAGTAAAAAATTTCAAAAAAAAAGTTTTTCAAAACGCAACCGAGAGAAGATATTTTCTTTATGTTAACGCTGATGAGCTAACGAGCTAAAAGCACGAACACGAACCTCTATACGCGCACACTGTCTTACGATTTGCACAAATTGTTGCAAAGAGCCTCGTGCGGCATTATATAGAGTTAGAACGTACGCGCTAATAGCGCAATACGCAGGTCGCGACCGAATCTCTTCCATATATGTATGTACTTTGTATTCTTTGTAAGATAATATAATTTGTTCGAAGAATATTGGAACAGAATATTATACATAACTAAAAATCATTCGAATTAGTCCGAGTGCTCGAAACATTTTATTAATTTTTTCTCTTTTATATATAGGATTGTCTTTATTATCTTCCGTCAGAGAAATAATTCTCTCAATAAAAGTATTGTTTCCAAAAAAAAAAAAGATTCAAGAAAACATGTAATACGTATCCGGTTTTTTTTTTTTTTTAAAACTATTGATTTTGGATTTATTTATATCAGTTAAGGCGGAGTATAGTCCCAAAACTCTTCGAGATAGCTAAAGCGCTAAAATGGTGGAAATTCGGGCCCGCGCACGCCAACGTTTGTCCCTCTCTACTTACGCACATATAGACGCTCGGTTCATCCGTGTGATTCAGCAGCGACGACAAATGGACTGGGCGTCTATGTGTTACGTAAGTAGAGGGAGGGAAAACGTTAGATGTGAGCGGGTTCGAATTTCCATCACTGGTTTGATGAGTAAGCATGTTTCAGGTTCGAGTCCCGACGCGATTCTTCTCTACACAAAGTGTTTCTCTTTCTTTCTATCGAATTTCTTTCGCGAGATGTTCACAGCCAGAGTTCCTCCAGATTCAACTCCGCTTGACTCAAAAAACGCGCGTTTAAATCGATATTAATTTAGTTTAGTCAAATCCTCTTCATGCAAAGTCATTGACGTATATATAAGCTTCGTTATTTTTCTGTTTGTTTTCCTAAGATACCGAAAGTTAAGCTAACAATAAGCGGGATTCTGTATATATGCCAACAAACATGCCGATAAATTGGTAAAACTTACTGTTTAATTTCATACAAATAGCTCTCTTTGACAACAATATCTTTGTTTTTGACGCTGTGTTTGGAGATAATTGATAGATTACATTCCTCTGTCGAAAATACAATGTTACCGACATGTTGTGTGTATATAAATAAAACTTTTTACATTTAAAGATACTTCGAACACCCCCCGTTTCTGTCAAAATACTTGGAAATACCCAGAGTTATTGATTTTTTCAAGGCAAAAAAGATTTTAAATTACTTGCGTGGGAGATTTTTTTTTTTTTTCAAAGTCACAGTATTGTTTCGCTCTAAGGCTTACCAGCTGTTTTTTTCTCTTTTATGAAACTTTTCACGGTGGGCCTAACCATAATTTGTCACATCTGCAACGAAAACTTAATAGTTACGTTCAGAAAGCTCAAACGATTAAAAGATCATCACTTATTATAGGACTGTTCTGCAAAATCTGATTTCAAAAGTATGGTCCAACTGCTGTGTTAAGTTGTCTGAAACCCACCCAATAACGGAGATATCGATACTTGCAATATATTTGTGTTACAGAATAGGCCGATTCGTTTTGCTTCATGAATGTTCAATTTTACTAGTTTTCAAGTCTTTTATACTGTCATACAAACGTACCGTATATATCGGAAAAAAAAAAGTCATTTTGAGAGTACATTCGAATGTGATGGCCTGCCGATCGACCTGAAATTTTACACGTTAGTTAGTGTTTAACCCTCGGAGAACACACTGGGTCAATTTGACCCTGTTCGTCGACTTTGATCAAAATATTTTGCTTCAATTTTGCTTTTTTGTAACATATTTTTTACAATGTTACCGACACTTTAAAACTATATAGGCATATTCCAAACTGTTCAAAATATATCCGAAAATTTTTTCAAGCCAATCGGATAAGTGCATTTTAAATGGTAGCATCTCAAAAAGTGGACAAGAGTCAAATTGTGACCCAGATTGTTCTTCTTGATTGAAAAAATAGGTGTGTTCCCCGAGGGTTAATGAAGAATAAAGTGCGCGTGGTCTCAATTTCGGGAAACAAAAAATAAATTTTTTTTTACACGTAACATCTATATATATATATGTATATGTTAACTGCTCTAGTATAAAGTCTCGGCAAGGACGGGTCAAAACAACAAGTCTACAATTATACACAAAATTATCATATACAAAGAAAAGCTTTTTCCTTTTATGCGATATATATACGATTTATTTTGTTTCAACTGATTTGTTTACAATAGAACATCACAAGAGAGAGAGAGAGAGAGAGCGCATTCACGCGCATTCTGCGATAAACGAATCATTTTCGGGGGGGGGGGGGTGAACAAATCGTTCCGTGGGATAGGAAAAAATCACCTCCATTGATTTCCACGTAAACGTTTTATTTATTTTACTTGCGCTTAAATAATAAAATTCTTTTAGCCGATAACATGTCGAATAAATATTTTATCGCGTGTGTATTTGTCACGGACCGACGTACCAAATTAAAATGAAAATATACACGATGCTGATGTAACCGTACGGTGCCGATAAGATAAGCGTTGACTTTTGCTACTACTTCTGGAGAGAAGGTTATGATTATCTAATGGTAAAATCAGTTTTGTGTCGAGATTCACGATGTGAATGATCTACGGCTAATTGTAATATAATACAAATTGTGCACAGAAATAAATTGTTGTAAGCTTTTCTGAAAATTATTCTCTACGTTATGTGCAAAAACTGCACACAAGACGTAGATTTAACGAAATTTTATCAAATCAAACACTAGTGCACTCTAGAAGTCAATTATACATCAAAGTACATCAAATCGTCACGCGAATGTGAACAAGATAAGTCCGTTTTTCGCGACACTTCGAATCGTGGTGGTGGGGTTTAAGACTCGCGTCTGATGAAACGACAGTTGCAAGCAAACCGTCGACGGTGCTAGTTCGCGCGAGTGAAAATCTCGTATTTTTAGTATACAAGTTTCGTCTACGTCAACGTCTCTCTTTTAGTTTATTTAAATAACAAATAACTTCGAAATTAATAATCTGCAAAACTCAAAAAAAACATTGCGAACTCAATCTTTGCGATATTACATACACCAAAGCGCGAGCAAAGAATACTTTGAGCAAAACTTTGGATGTTTCAGTCGTCTCGTTTTGTGAATTACAAAAAAAAAGTATTTCGCATTTGGGCGACAAGATTTCAAATGCAGTGGAATTCGGAAAGTAGGCGGCGCTTGCGACCGCAGCATCATGCTTTTGATGATCGCGAAACTTGTCAAATCGGACGCTCCTCGAGCTGTTATCGAATCGGGTTTTGCTTTTGTACGCCATATGTTATCGAGATATGTACATATAAGTCAATGATCTGTCAGATCTAAAGGTTAAAGACGAGCCGATGTGACATGATCGGATGATGTGATTGTCGACGATATAATATTCGGAATATAATTATTAAAATTACTGGTGAGGAGAATCTATCATCTCGCGCGCAAAGAAAACCCGAAGCAAAAATCGATCGAATCTGCCGATCGTAACGAACAATTTTCTTCTGGAAGAGAAAAATGAAAACAATAAACGCGCGATTTACGAGATCAAATCCATATTTGAAGGAATACACGCTGTTATTTTGTGAAAGAAGAACTTACTAAAATATTAAGCAAACAACTATAGCGCAAAAGCATAAAAGAATTTGTTAAATCCTGGTTATGCTCTTTTGCTTCAAAAAAGAATGCTTCCTCCAATGTTGCACGTGAATCAAAGCTTATCTGAAACAAGCAAAGGTAAATTAAAATATTTTAGAGTTTAGCTCGCGGTTGATTCTCTCGAACTTGTGCGTGTATGTGTACATACTTATGTATATATATGTACATATATTAACACCAGACTGTATAGCATTTTCCATATCCCGATACTCACGTTCAATTAAAAAAAAAAAAAAAAAAAAAAAAAACACGTGTATACAATAGAGCATTCGGTTTCGATTACAGTCTATATGATTGTCCCGGGATTGAAGATTTCGAGATTTTATGTGAATTTCAAATTCTCTCGGGAATTTCGAGACTCGGAATTGCTAATGGTATCAATGTAATTTCTTAAATTATATAATTCCTTTAAATAAATATACGAAAAAACAGTTATGTAATATATAATATTGTCATATAATTTAATCAATTATAGTATTTACCATTAGTGGGATAAAAAGTTTTAGAGAGAGAGAGAGAGAGAGAGAAGAGATTCGGGATTATATTTTTAATAGTCACCATTTCTTTAACTTATCCATGACTAGTTATTCCCTTTTCGTGCGTATTTAATTTGCAACTTCCACAAGTAAAATATGCTTATAAAGAACAATACAAAACAATATTGCCAAATAATTTTAACGTAGACAAAAGATATGTAAAGATATAGAACTATGTATGTTAATATCTCTCTCTCTCTCTCTCTCTCTCTCTCTCTCTCTCTCTCTCTCTCTCTCTTTCTCTCTCTCTCTCTCTCTTTGCTTTGTTAGATTCTAATATACCAATAGTACCAATATGTAATATGTTGTGTTTAAGGATATTAATATCTATTATATATAATTAATAAATATTAATTTTTAATATCACTAATGTTTCATAAAATCTAATTTTTTTTTTTTATTCTGATTGTGCATGACTTACTATTGTTCATATTAGCTGCATTGCGCAGAAATTTATTTCGTTAAGATTCCTGCGCAATGATTTTCTGCGCGTGATGCTGCTCGGCTTGACGCTGCTATGAGCATGGGCATATCCTATGGGAGCTCCCATACTCGTGGGAGCGTGGGCATGCCCTTAAGCCAACTGCCATAAGCAAAATGGCGGAATAGTAGTATTGCCACATAAAGTGTAAAGTTTCTAACAGTATATTATAATTTGTTACAATTTATAAGTACAATAGTAACGGTATAATAGTAAGCAGTCTCGAAAGTGAGTTTCGAAATTCTTGGGACCATTTTTTTTTTTACAAGTTTTGGCTATGAAAGTGAGCAAAAACATTCAAGATTCTCGAAATTTCCAGAGTTTCATTACCTAGAATGGATGCTTTAGTGTACAGAACTACTTTTATCCTTTTCATTATATATATATATATATATATATATATATATATATATATATATATATACAGGGTGTCCCAGAATTGCCGTACAATCTCTCGTAGGCAGGTAGAAGGAATAAAACTGAGTCGAAAAGTCCTGAATCATTTTTTTCTATTATTTATAATAAAGGAGTAAATTATTGAGTAAATCAGGCCAATCAGCGCCGATCTTTAGCCAGGCGCACGTCAGTGAACTGCGCGGAGTGCTCACACACACCAGGCGCGTGGCTCACTGACGTACGCCTGGCTAAAGATCGGCGCTGATTGGCCTGATTTACTCAATAATTTACTCCTTTATTATAAATAATAGAAAAAAATGGTTCAGGACTTTTCGACTCAGTTTTATTCCTTCTACCTGCCTACGAGAGATTGTACGGCAATTCTGGGACACCCTGTATATATATTATATATATATTATTATATATATATTATTATAAATATATATATATTTATTATATATATGTATATTTACATATTTATATATATACGGATAGCGAGTCAATATTCTATCTATGGATTTTTCCCGATATCGGGAGGTGGGAGAAAACCAAGATGGTAGAGATCAGGGGAAGGCATTCACGGATTAGCGAGTAAATATTCTACCTAATAGAAAACAGGTTTTCTTCAGGGAGGGGTCTTTCTAAAGGCACATTTTTTGCGTGAAAGTATAAGAATGCCTTCAGAAAGACCCTTCCTCGAAGAAAACATGTTTTCTATTATATAGAATATTTCCTCGCATCCGTGAATGCCTTCCTCTGATCTCTTCCATCTTGGTTTTCTCCCACCTCCTGATATTCGGGAAAAACTCATAGCTTACAGATATGGAGTGGGAAAAGCCTATTCAAGCAATGAGCGAGAGAAGTGTAGTGCGATCTGAGAGAACATGTAAACTTTTCTGTCTTGCTCAGGTACTTTTTTCTCTTTCTGCGCATTTGCCAAGTAATATACGGTGCTTACGGGGAACGGTGCTATCTGTACTTTGCATTATTCTATCTTTGTTTCCTATCTAATGAGAAGATAAAGATAGAATGATACAATAGCGCAGATAACGTGTTTCCTAAACGCAGTTTCATAAAAATCGCTGTTTTTAAATAGAATTAATTCTTCAACTGTAGACCTACAAAAAACCTACAAGAACTTTAGACTGGATCTGTGCGGCCTGCGCAAATATAAGATCGAATATCTTCGCAAAAAATCAATATTTGTTCAATTTCTTTTTTTTTTTTCGATTTTGTTTTTGAATCGTAAATTTGAACGATTCTGCGTCGATAAAAAAAAACAGGTTAGGTTGAAAAACATCAGCAGTAGTTTCGAAGATATAAGCGTTTAAAAAAAAACTTATTTTTTCTAGAAACGTCGACGCGCATTATTGAATGGGTGATCCGCCATTGAACCTATATTTCTACTCTTCGTATATTGCTAAAAAAAATCGAACTCCGGCGATACCTCCGACTGAGATGGGCGCGGGACGCCATCTCCGACAGTAACAATCGCCTTGACAATGTTCGCGGCATGGTTGGTTTCGCGCCGCCAACGCATAACTCCGATATAACTTAAAAAAAAAAAATCTGTTTTGAAACTTGGCACATATAATAAAAATACAAAAATGATATATTATTACGTTAATTTTATGAAGTAGTAAATTAATTCAGAAAACGTAAAAACGAATTTTGTAGAAAAATCCGACTCCGGCAGTATCTCCCCCCGACAGTTCTAATCGTTCTGATAAAATTTTTCGAGACGCACAGTGGAACAAAGATATCATTTTTTCTCGAAGGATATAACTTTTTTTCAAGAGTAAACTGTGTTTTTGAAACTTGGTTAGACTTTCGATGTAGCCGCGTCAAAGGTTTTTTGCGCTAGATATTTTTTATATTTTGAAAACATTTTTTAACAATTAGAGGAGATCTTTAGAGGCTCTGAAGTTTAAACTAGAAATATATAGACAATATAACAAGAGCCGTTTGTTTCGCTCATCAGAGGAATAATAATATCATCACCTTTCATCACAAATAACACAGTTATAAATTTTGTCGTTCGTTTCCATTTACTATTTTACACACTGCTTTTAAGCCTCGCTTCACAATTACGTTGGTTTGGCTTTGAGCGGAAGAAAAAAGCAGTTCTCATCACAATTAAACACACGTGATGGACCAATGTTAGGGAGGTTGATTGTTTCTAAATGCTTTATCACTTTTTCAAACCATCGACGTAATGCCTCTTCAGTACATATAACTGATGCTTGACTATAACTTTGACATATGAATTAATATTTATTACAGTCAAACCTCGATAACACTCGAAAACCTCTATAAGACAAAAATTTTATTCACTTCCTTCTGCTCCGCGGAAAAGAAAAAAACGCTTCGATAAGTCGAGACCTCAAGACAACTCAAAGAGCTTTTAGCTCTTCCCTTGAGATTCGAGTTATCGAGGTTCGACTGTATTAAAATAGAGATAAAAATAAAATACAGAAAAATGAGAATAATACAAAACAATAATTATTAAATTGATAATTATTGTATTTTTCGAACACTTCACTCTCGCGTGAGTGACAATGTGATAACACATTTGCATGCGTGGTCAAGTTTTGAGTCGTTCTGCGATTTCACTGTACCAACATTTGGACACGTAAATAAAAAAAGATACAAATTTTAATTGTAATTGTTTATTAAAAAAAAATGAATTACAGTATGTCATTTTTCTAAAAATGTATTAATTATACCAAAATACAATATATTTTTGATGACACTTGCTTAAGAAGAAGTTGAAAGTTTTTAGCAAATCATATAGGAAGACTACTAAAACTAGTACAAACCGAAAATTGTAAGAAATACAATTTTTTTATTAAGAAAATATGTTACAAGTTTAATAACAAAAACTTATATCAATGTATTTTGTAAAAAATTATTTGAGCAACTGAATAAAATAAACAATTGTGACTTAAGACTCGTGAAATTACCAACAAGATATATATAAGGCCTTACGAGCTATTCTCAAGATGTTTTGAGTAGAAACTTGTACGTATGTATATATATATACATACACATGTAACAAATTCAACTTGTAAATTTTTACAAGTGAGTGTTTTTTTAGTTGAAAACTCAATTCTTAAAATCATACGGGATGCCGGATTTCCATCTCATATGACAGACCCCGGATACAAAATTTCCGGATGGCACAAAAAGCCGGAAATTTCAGGTTCGACTCCTGGCCGAGGAATTTTTTTCGCAAAATTTTAAAATTAGTTAGGGGGTTATCCGGGGTCTGTCATATGAGATGCAAATCCGGCATCCCGTATTATTTTAAGAATTGAATTTTCAATTCAAAAAACACTCACTTGTAAAAATTTACAAGTTGAATTTGTTACATGTGTATGTATATATATACACGTACAAGTTTCTGCTCAAAACATCTTGAGAATAGCTCGTAAGGCCTTATATATCTTGTTGTGAATAAAATAATTTGTTTAATAGATAAAACAAACAAATTAAATGTAGTATTTAATATAGAAATAACTTTAAAGAGATTTTAACCATAATACAACTACTTATTTATTTTTACGTTAATGATATGTTGATAAAATAGAGTCTGAAATATTCTTACGATATGTGAATCGAGAGTTCTGAGAATTCACTTTTCTGCAGCGTAAAAAAAAATTAAACTTTTGAATAAGACTCGCGCGATAACTACCTTAAGTAGAATTAATTAAAATCTCACTAATTGATTTAGTGACAAAACATTTTATCAGTGATAATATCACTGATTTTCAGTGAAAGAATGCCCCTGTTAACTTAGGTCAGTGACAAATTAGTTTTAGATCTAAAAATTAGTTATTAAAATTTCGCCGATTGATTTAGTGACAAATAGTTTTACTGAGAATCAATAACACACAATATCACTGAATATCATTAACATATTACTTTTAAAATAACAATTAATAAAGAGTTTCGGCTTTGGATTGAATTTTGAAGTGAAATTTTAATTCAAAATTTACATGCAATATTTACGCAAAAAAATATGAATATATATATATTTATATATATTTATAAAAATAAATATATATATATATATTTATTTATTTATTTCGCAACGAACATCCAGCAAAAAGGCTCCCAACGACAAGTCAAATTATCGTTAGTTTTACAATAGTAATATTTAATTAAAAAAAGCTTAAAAGTAAAGCTGTGATTTGATAGATATTTTAATGCATTTATGATATATTTATCTCTCAAATTCGTTGTATATAGATGAATAGGCCAATCATTATATCGTTTACCCTCTACTGATTCGTGCGGTAAAAGTGCGCTTCAACTAAATGAATTAGTAAGATATATTGATTCTCAGTGAAAGAGAGACTTACAACTGATCTGTGAATCAGTCATCTCATCTCATCAAATATATTCGGAGTATTTTATATATTCTCATTTCCTAAAACAATAGTTTTTCCTTCACGAGAGAATATATACTACGAGCAACGAGAGATTGTGCACGTTTCGCGCAAGAGAAGGAAAGAGCTATCCTAATTTTAAACGCGGGTTACTGGACCTTATGTAACTGCAAAATTCGAGCGCTAAATATAGTCTCCGGTTGTCTCTAGCTTGACACTCTAATGACTGTGCGGATTACGTTTTCAAACGCGTCTCTTCTGATCATAAAATGCACATATAGATATAAACATTTTTTAATGTTATTGATTTTGGTTAAATTTAATTTACTGTGTGTCCCAAACAGTTTAATTATGTTATTTAGAAATGTCGTACTTGTGAAATAAAACGCGTATTCTTTGAAAATGACTTACTAACATTTCTACTTAAGATATAATAGATTTATAGCGTTTACGAAAATGTTTTCTGTTTTTCTTTTATTTTTTCATCGATTTGTTTGTTCTTTTCGGGTAAAAGTCAGAAACGTTTTATTGGCAAATCGCGTTGCCAATAAAACGTTTAATTTTTTGAATAACAATGGATCGAATTCCGCTGTTTCCGACATTTGTGAGCTGGAGGAAGTAGAGACTGTATGACACAGAAAAAGAAAAAATAATAACAAAACAATCTCGTGAGAGAGATATATTCTTCTCGCCGCGCGCGATTCGATGACGGCCAGTGTGCTTTGAAATAAATAAATAAATGTATATATTCTATTTATTTTTTTGATTTTTTTGTAATTGACAAAATAGAGGAAACAGAGCAGCTTGTTTGAATATGTTATACATCATATAATTCACATATAATTTGCATCGTGTTACGTAATCTCTTTCGTAACTTTTTCGTTTGATTTCATTGATCGGAAATATAAAATTATATAAAATTTCGAAATTTGTCAATAAATTCGACGATTCGATTTATTAGCGCTAATCTATATCTATATTGCATCACTCTATCTTTATCAATTATCAGATATACAATAAAACAAAGAATGACAGCCAATATTGTTTCGATCTTTCGAAGTCACACAACAATTGTGCGACTGCTCAAAAATTTGCAGAATGAGCGCGAGTCTAAGAGCCAAGAAAGGCGGTTTCCCTTAGCGGTAAATAGTTAGTTAATACAGTTGTGGACACAAGCGATTGCCACAATTAATTGTTCTAACAATCATAAATTATTTTAACAACAGCGTTTGTCGACGCTATTTACAGCTCTAGTGAAACCGCTCCTCTTGCCCTCAAACCTTAAAACTTCCGCACTTATATTTCGCGAATTTTTTATTTACACTGTATACGCACCACATGACAGTTTGCGCGTCTTTTCGCTGTTACAATTCAATGTTTACATCGCTTTCGATCGAACTTCTGCGTTTTATGTGACATGTAGAAAGGAAAACTTACGTTAGGAGAACTTTTATTTCTCTATACGATTTAACAAACGTCGCGAGCACACGAGAGTTTGACAGTTTTTCAGTACACGTACACGCGGTATGAGATTATATTTTTTGCACCAACAAACAATTTTACACGCGCGTATTTGCAATGTCTCTTGTTTTCGGAAGAAATACAACGCTGTATTATCGTCCGCGAATCTTCACGTTGTGTGCGTTTTGCGTTTCCTCTGTTATTGATCAAATTATATTCCAGATGTAAGTTTAGAACTGTGCACATTATGCGAGAGAAAGAGAGAGAGAGAGAGAGAGAGAGAAAGAGAGAGAAAGAGAGAGAGAAAGTATTTGCACACAATCACGACTCTATCTCGAATGTTAGTTCTTTTTACGTGACCCTCGCACACATTTGAACACGCTTTTTTTTTTTTTTTGACCCCTATTGCCGATATCTCGCCGATTTATTATGCAATACATAGTCTGATATTAATATTTGCCGCGTAGAGTTCTCACAAGCCAGTGTGCTTCAACTCTCTGTAATTCGATTGTAAAATACCGAGATATGAGAGTACACACTGACGTTATACGCGACGGTATCGTCATTTGTTAACATTCGTTAGTTTAATTATCGTATTGTTGTCTCTCTTATTCGCGATATATCTACTTCTTCTTTATTTGATTTTTTTTCCGTCAAGAAACAATTAAGTTGTAATTTTTGTCTAAATTTTTGAAGCGATAACGTAACGCATTGTGTATCTCCTTTTCCTCCCGCTTCTCTAATCTCAGATTTTCTTTCGTTATTAATAAATATTTGGAATATTCCTCTCTTTATTTCGCTTTTCTCCACTTCCTTTCTCTCAATATGAATCTTTTCATATTTCACCCAAACTTTCGGTCCTAACTTTTTCTCTAGCTATTTTTCTCAGTTTTTTTATATTTTGCATTTTTCTTTCTCTTTCCGTGTTTAGATTGTCTATTCTTTTTATTCTTTTCTTGCATATACTTTATAC